TGGCATGGCAGCTAGGCACTGGAAAGTGTTACAGCTGAGAGATTACTCTCTGGATAACTTGTCTCGAAGCTTTTTCTGGCTCATTTCTTTTTAGGGGTCACTCAAGAAGGTCGCGTTTTGAAAGTCCTTGTTCTCCGATCAGGCGATCCGTTTTGTTAGCAATCTACGATTGTTTTACCACCTTCAAGCGGCTCTAATTGCTCCCACTCGTTGATCAAATGATCGATGTTCAATGTACTAGGCCATATGAACAAATGTTGGTAACAATGTCTGAGCAACCTACGAACGCGTTACAGGGAGTAGGCAAGAAATTTATTTCACACTAGTATTAAGACCCGCTAGAGCACCTGCCAAAAAAGGTAACCTCCTGGTATTCACCAACCCACGCAGGCACATAATAGGAAATGCTGCTTAAATTACACCCGAAATTTTTACATCTCTCGGTCGCAGTCAAATAGCAGTGAAAGCTGTCACAGTCCGAAGTATTCAATCCAGATTTGTCAGGAGGACCGTCGGGTCAGAGGTTATGTCGCAAACCTGCGTCGTGAATAGCCAGATAGTTGTTAGGTATTGGTCAGTGGACAGACTCGGTGGTTTCATTCTAAATCTTGCTGTACAACACAAGGTTTTATCGAGCAAGCGGAACACTACAGATCAAATCAAGCCGACTTCGGTTATGTGCACGCAAACAGTTGAAGCAAACAAGTTGATTACTCTGGCCAAATCAACCTATCAGTGTCTGTTCAACACCGTTTCCATTCATCACCTATATGCCCCGCGTTTTACGTCCACGGGTGCTGAGGAAAAGAAACGCTAAAACATCTATTAGTTCCGATCAGGCAAGATACTCTAGTTGAAGAAGTGGTTGAACAGGTTGAACGGAAGCGCATATCCAGACGGAATTCGGGAGACCCATGGGCAATCAGATTCATTGAGCATATTACGCACACTGTGGAAAACATTTCACCGAAGACTGTCTTTCGAAAATGAATCAGCCAGTGAAACTTTGGCAGAAAAAACTTCAAATAAACCATCGATGTGGTCTAGTCAAGAGTAGTCTTCATCATCTGTCCTCGTTTCGTAAAACCCCTGGAAGACAGGCTTGTCAGACGAAGCTCGACAGAATAGGATTTGAGCCGAACAACGAGGCAGTTATCCGGACGGAGGTTTGGAGACGTTCTGACTGGTACTCATTAAGGACGATACCATTCCAGAAGCCATTTAATTCCGGTCAACGAGGTAGATAGAGAAACTGTACCAAAGTTTTATCAGCCTAGTTAGAGCAAAATTGCCGGAAGCGGTTAGCTGAAGAAATTCCGTCACTGGTACAGGCGTTTACAGGCCAAAACACTGTATCTAGATGCCAGCGCTCACGCAGCTGCACAATCCTACTCTAACATGCACGTGATATATATATATATATATATATAGCATTTCTAGTGGCACAAGTTGCGGTGTACGCGCGTGCGTTTCTACCTGAGCCACTAAAAATCGGCCACCAAGTCCTAGTACGCCAATGAAAGTTTGGAGATTTGAAACGACTTTGCCAACCTTTCCAACGAAGGAGCTATTGCAACACTTTTAAGCCAAAAAAGTGTGTATTTATGGCACATTCCAAACCCGATTGCTGCGAGACTTCTAGTCGTGCCCTCTAAATCCACTGTCAAACCTGGTATAAGTGCAGTAACTGATGAGTCCCGGTAAATGCTCCTATGACTCAGCCTTTCCGGATCTGTCCACGTCGTTACCGTCAAAACTTGATTTGGTGATCATCAGGTTCCTTCTACTCAAATCGGCGACTATTCAGATAAACCTATTCCGGCAGAAGTTGACTGAAGGAGTTAGTTGAATGGATGAGTGAGCATCTGGCCAGAACACGGACCAGCCTTAGAAGGATAGTGGAACATTTTCAGCAACCTTGTGAGTAGTTTCCGTTATGAAAGTATACGGCGGTATCTCGAAAATCGTGCCAACTGAAACACGACGTGGCCTGTGTGCAGCACATTCAGTTGTATAATAAAATGAACGAGAGATTCAGTTGAGTCCCTCGTGAAAACCAAATTGAGTGTATTTCTCGAGAATAGTGGAACATTGTTGTGTCTCATCCCTGGCGCACATCAACAAGAGTTGGACTGTGCCTCGTCTCATCATGGAACTGTACCGACCACCCTGTAGTGCTAACCTCTATCCGATTGAGGCGTTTTGGAGTCTACTGACATTCGAAATCTCAGAGGACCCAGTGGCTGTTTTTAACTAAGACAGGAAAAGCATTAAGAAAAACGCTAACCACGCACTCAGCGAATGTGTGCTAAAGTGACTTATTAAAGTTTCGAAGCAAATTTTCGGGGGATTCTCTCTTGATATGGCAGGATTATGGCTGCGTGGCCTTACCAGAGTGTTGGGGGAAGGGAAAAAGACTATCGAATTTTACTCTGCAACACTCCATAAAAGTTCTGTCTCTCGTTCGCTGCTCATCATCCTTTGTGTTGTTTGTCCGGGCATCCTGATATTTCTTCACCAAGGTTGTCATATTGGTCACATTTCCATGGTTAGCTGCATTCTAACCAGTGAGATTGACTTCCGTATGGCAGTCGTGTGTAATTCACAGCCTATGTTCCAAAATGGCACAAACTAGCTCAATTTTATACTGATTTATAGACGAGAGATTCGCGGGATTCAGTTGAGCCTTTCGTTGTACGCAAATGAGAGTATCTGACAAATCCTGTCCGATTTTGATTCAAGTCTAACATAAGGTTGGCGAAAACCTGGGAAATTTGTCCATCCCCAAAATCTTCGTACGGACAGCGTACGGCTGTCAAGCTCAATAGGCTGTACCGCCAGGGTCGATATTTCCGGACTCTCCTGTCCTCCTTGGTGGGTTCGGTATTTGGTCCATCGACTCAGTGGGAAAAGTTCGCCGGACCAGAACAGAATGATCCCTTTGGGAAGGAAAGTCCCTATGTGAGCAGTGTATCCATGATGTTTTCTTTAAAAGTTTAACTCTGTCTTAGAGAATAGCTGTTAATTCGATTTTGCACGCTTGCCAATTCTTGATAGCAACCGGGGAGATGATCACTCACGAATAGCCACAGCTGTCTGCACGTTTCTATCACCCACTACCGCCCTTCCACTCAATTCCTTTATATTCCTTCCCTTCTTAGAAACGTTAATCTCTGGGAATCTAGCCAAGGTAATCAATAACTTTTGGGCGTATACTCGAACAATGCGGCAGGAAGATGAGTCTGACAGATTTGTCAAGGACAATGAGTTGAAAATAGAGCGATGGCGCATTTTCCTTCTGTGATTCTTTTCGATAGGGTTTGAGAATGCCTGTGCTCTCAACCCAGCTAACCTACAGTTCCACGAAGTGGTTTGCTGCCCTGGGCGATAACTATTACGACAGGTGAGAACAGATGTCTGACCATATTTTTATGCTGACAGATGCATTGCCCCCCCATTCGCATAGAGACACTCCATGATTTCGTTGTTAGGTGAACCCTGATATCCAGTTGGTATGACAACAAAAACGTAGGAAAGTATATCCAAATGAACGTCAGCTATATATTTCAGTCCGACACATGGCTACACGAGATGGGATCCTGGTCTAGCGCTGAGTGGTAGTTGGAATGGAGAAACTTCTGTGGAAATTTTGTGGAAAATAGCCGTTCTGGACTTGAGCCTGTGCAAAGCATAAATGTGAGCAAAGCTCCCGTCAAGGCGTGCCAAGTTGAAAGCTTGACCGCTAAACAACATAACTTTGTCCTTCCGAACCCTCAGTATCCTCACTGTCTCGTAATCTTCGTATCAATTTTTCCCTCCCTTCAAATGAGTACTCCCGAAGCTCCCAAATCTTCAAGTGCGGACGAGTAACCCTGGTAACAAGAATGTTTACCTCTGAAAAAGTTAATTGCAATCGGTTGCTCGAAGAAATCTTTAGTGTTCGTCCCCTTCCGCAAAACCACACGCGGATCGCGGGCACGAAATCAAGCAGAAACAGACTACCTTCTCGGGAAAGCGGACGATTTTGTCAAGGACGTCAAGTTTTAGGGAGGACTACTTCCCTGAGTGCACTTGGTTTGGAACCCAAATTTGGAGATGCCTCATTGAGTGTGCAAGTGTGAACACAGTCGTGTACACTTTTTCCAAAATTTTGCCACATTAAAGCTGGTTTTAGAGTAAACTTGAAGAGAAGACACTGCTGGAAAAGGGCCTGCTTGTCCCTTTGGAGGGTGAACTCCCTTTGTATAAGGAATTTACGCTGAAAATGTGTGAGAAAACGCACGTGTGGAGTCTCACCAGGACTGACTTCCCTCCGGAGAGGTTCTTTTTTGGAAAATCACTATGCGTCCACGTCCTACCCGTTGACACCGGAAGATTGATTCAAATCGGCTTTCGGGCTACTAATTAGGGTTTTTGGGGCCTCACTTAGCGATGAGTATACTTCCTCAGCGTTCATGGCCATCCAACTGTCTAAACGAGAGATTGGACTTTGAACGCCAAGTTCCTTGGTATAATAGCTGGCGTATCTCTCAGCTCTGTACATTAAGAAATTTATCACTGGACTGCTCAAAAGGCTGTGTCCGACTCAGAGGAAACTGAGAATGATCACAAACACATGCTTAATTAGGGGAACTGCGATAAGGCTTGGTGGATAGAGAGGAATTTATTGACCGAAAAGCGCGTGGTTCGAACCCAACCTCTGCATTTCGACTTCTCCTGTCTAGGCAACCTGGCATTACCCATCCCTCGTACTTCCTTTGAATGGCGTCGCAGCTACGCACTGAAAGGTTGTTACAGCTGAACGATTTTTCTTAATTAGGGGATGCCACTCAAACTATTACCCAACTTCGGCTTTCACACTGACTACCAAATTCAGGGTCGGTAATGGCTATGCTTACTCGAATCTATATTATTAATTGACAAGTGCTTCCCAACCACATATCGATTCTCAACCACCTAAAATAGCAACCAAGACTGAGTGAGTTAAATACAATATTTATAAGGGGTTTCTGCTCTTATGATCAACAAGAGAGAATGCAAAATGGGGACATAAAAGAGCATTTTTCGCGTTTCACTGAACCCTACTCTCGGAGCTGAGGAGAGGGGGTGTGGATAGGAAGAGGGCAGAGCAAGTACCGCCGAAGAATCAGCCCCAGGATGGCGCGGTAATAACGGTAGAATGTAAAACACAACAAGTAACCGGGGAAGGAGCATGAGTAGGGGGTTACATACACAGCCATAAAATACAGACGAACAATGTGGAGGTACGGACAAGTGTTCCATGCTTTCGTCTTGTTGTCAGTCCCCAACAACTGACAAGAACCGGTCGCCATCTGCAGTCTTTTTATTCAACCGATGGTGAATTGCGTTCTGCGGATGAATAGTGCGGAAGCACGGTGGACAAATCATCATTGACCACGTACACGTCAATGACAATCGGTGTTCGCCTACACAACGAGGAACACAGGGTGCTCCCAGTAAATCCGGTGCTTCCACCAGAGTAACCGGCACCACTTCCACTGCCACACAGAGAGTCTGCCACGGCCATCGCACCGATCCCCGCACGCATGTCTGGATCGTAGATGAAACCCACGTCTGAGAACACATGTTCTGCTGCTGCCCGGGAACTCTGGGTCTCAGAAACCAAAACAGCTGGTTTGGGTCGGAGAGAGCGACGAAACAGTGAGCAGTTGGCTGTACATCCACCACCGTAGAAAAGTCTTGATAAGATACGCGGTAGGCGACGCTGCCATCGAGGTGGTCGTGGTCTGCCGTTCGGTTTGGGTTGGTAGAGAGGAGGTTCACAGAAATCTGGATCAAATGTTATAGGTGTTATTGGTGTCACCAGATGAGTGGAAGTGGACTGGTTTCCATCCATGATGTTCGATTTCTGGGCAGTGGGTGTGGTGATGGTCGCAGGGGTGTCGACAGCGACCGAATGGGTGTTCGGTGTCGCCCTTGTTGTGGTCCGCGTTCCAGAGCGCTTTTCGTTCACCGGTTTTCGGTAACCAGCCGGTGGGAATGTTGAAGTGAGCTGCAACGCGGCATTGCTAAACAATGTCTCCCGCTTCCACAGTACACCGTATCCGGTGAAGTCATGCCCGCATAACTGCAGAGTCGGTCTATGATGTAGAAAGGAAGGTGGAGAAATTAGTAAGAATGAGAATATATTGTACTTGCACTTTGTGACTACGTCACTCAATGTACTACATAATGACAACGCAGCACAGAATGTTATACTTTAATCTTGTACTTTATTTTATTTATGCTTATATACATACATATATAATCATATATACTACTTATACTTTACTCTCATTTATATGAAGGCAGTACACTTCTTACATAACCTGCCGCCTGATGACTTAACTACGGTAACCTCCTCCTGGAGAAGTCTCTTCTCTTGGTAGCCTCTCCCTTCTCTAAGTTGAGGGATGCTGAAGAAGGTTACTGTAGATTGTCTAGAAAAGTGACTTCTCTCCAAAAATGTCTGTCTTGGAAATATTATTATATAATCCACTCGCTTTACTTAATGGATAAAAAGGGCGGGGGAAAGTAGCATTCGCTATGGAAGCCGCGTCACATCGACACAGTAAGAGATACGAAATCGAGAATAGGGTTATCGGCGCAAAGCCTTGCAGACCTGGTCTGATTCATTGCCAAAAGTTAGAGGGTCTTTCTGATCTTCTTCAGGTACGTGGTCATCTGTGCCAGAGTGACCCTCAAGCAATCTCCTGTTGTGATTGATTGGGGCAGCGACATCAAAATTCCTCCAACCCGGTTGAAACACCAGGACCCAATATCCGAACTGATCATTTGAACGCCCCAAGTCAGCCGTGTTTCTTAGCTGAGTCGATGTCGCTGGTTGACGAGGGGTGAAAGAAGATCGCTAGCTTAAGTGGACGACAGAACAACGTTGTGCAGGACGGAGAAAGCGAGGGGGCGATGGAAAAGTGCTTACCACATGTGATCAACTGGCACGTCGTTTGTCATCAGCACACAATCCAGGCAGCAGTTATCGCGACACCGTCCACCTACAACTATTTTACGGCATTGGATAGATGGGTCGCGGTTGTTGGCTGTGAAAATGGGCTGAGCCCATTCACCATTATGATTAAAACACACTCATCTAACAACAATAATTTTACGGCAATGTCCCTGTACTGGGAATTGGTTTTTATGGGTGCGCTTGATAACGACAACTGTTTTCGCGAAAATCTCAGTGACACCTCTACAGTCGCAATAGTTAACGGCTGATAGCCAATCGCAAGACCAGTTAGCTGATCTTGATCGATCGAAAGAGTTTGAAATAAGTTTACAAAATCACTCATCTGTATTGTCCAGTTCAACCAGTGCGTACAACTACCTAAGAGCTGCTATGTGAGGAAATGGTAAATGCAAATGGATGCTCTGCGAACCGTTAAATGGAACAAAATTCCTCCTGAAAAGTGATGCTTGAAGGAAATTTCCTTTCGAGGTTACAGTATTGTCCCTCAAACAAGCTGAAACATACAACGCCCCACAATTTAACCTAGTTTTTAGGGAAAGAATAATAATGTCAAAATTGACAGCAATGAAGGCGTTAGTCAGTTTCACAGGTCGAGGCTCTCGAAAATGAGTCCAACTCTTTATAACACCAAACACTCATACTGTAGGCTAGACGAGCAACTGGAACAAAAATAGTATGATTAATTCATGGGCCGGTCTGCGGCTAAGTGTACTCGCACGTTTAAAATGCGTGTTTCACCACTTGTGTCATTGTGAAAAGCTGTCCACTTTGGGTTTGAATGATCTGATCGATAAAATCGTAGGTTGGGACGTTGCCAAGTGTGTCATTGACATCGTCGATGAAAAGTACGAAGTCTATGAGGAGCATTAAAATGCTTAGTTCTCACAATGCTTTGCATACACTACCGAATTATCTTGGTGCATTTCGGTCCCATAAAATACACAGTGGTCAACTATGGGGGTAAGTTACCTCTAATTAATTCGGAGAAGGGGAATGCAGTCATTTGCTTGAGGTTGGTTCTTTCTAAGTTCAGATTGTAACACTCGACACAACGACCGACAGAATGGTGTACGTGTCAGACCCTAATCTAACTCCAGAATCATTTGCAAAGTATCTGTTCTACGTTCAAATCTCCTAACTCACCAGCGAAGGTACAATGAAGTTAGTTGTACCTCCGTCACACGAAAACATGTCAGTTGACAATGAACATGACTAGTCGCGTTCTAAGAACGGACGCGTGGGTGTATGCGTAGGTGCACGATGAAACCACTACGGAGAACACAAAACAGCCTGCAGTTTTTGACTTTTTTCCAAGGCATGCTGAGTTGGATTGCCCACACAAATCCAGTAATGAACGAGTTTACGTGGGCGGGAGGTACCAAGTACTACCCCAGCACCGAGAGGACGAGCACGCATACAGAGCTAGGCACGTACATGTCTGAAGGCAAACAAATCTCAGTCGCATCTGTTTGCTTTGAGAATCAGGCAGTGAGTTGTTTACTGGTCTTAACCCAACCGCCGAGTTGGGTCAACAAATCAATCATTTCAGTCGCGTTGTATTGGATAGCACAATGGTGGTAACCAGAGTAACCTGTTCAACTCCTGTAGTGTTAGAAATGCCACAGAGACCGTTTTGCTTATCAGTAGTACTGTATAGCAAAGCAAAATATTCCAGCAGCAAGCAGTTTAGCGACGAAACCCTCAGACAGGATGGCCGTTCTTGCAGGAGCCATGGCCAATCACTTTTATCCCGTCTAAGGCTCGAGGTAACTAGGATTTGAACTGAATGAAGACGAACGCGCGTTGACCAATGCAACCAAGACACCAATACCACTAGATCACATCAAATAGGGCAACTATGTATCTCTTAGATCATGAAACACAAAGTCAAGACAACAGAAGTACAGGATGTCAGATCAAATTTACCCTATTATTGGTGAAGCGGTCAAAAGTGAACCCAACCGTAACTCGCCTTCCACCCCAGAAACGCTGATAGTTATCGATCTTCTCTGGTGGTGACGATAAACGTGTCGTTGACCTAGTGTTGAGTCCATTTATTGGAAATCACACTAATAAAAAGGTACTCAAAGGCGAATTCGCTTCCAAACTGCTTTGAAGACCTCTCTAAAGGAAGTTCGATCGTACCTCCAAACCCCGAAAGATACTCCTCAAAGCTGATTGTTACTTGGGTCGCGGAAATATTGTTTATCTATTGTAGACGGAGAGAAAGTATGAAATCATCCAATCCGGGATTCGTTCTCTGAACGTAAATCATCGAAAGAGTTACTGTCTCTAGTCGTGAAAGCGTTTAAAGACCTATGATCTGAAACAGTCAAAATGACGTGAACTTCACAATCAGGTATGGAGAAACAGAACAGTTCTCTATCACTTTTCTCGTCGTAAGAACTGCAGACACGCACTTTCCCCACTCTGCTGCAACGAAATTAAACGCCATAATAAAGGATGTTGCGTGAGTGGTAACATAAAGTGCTCATTCATTGATATTCATCAGTTCTGGGGATGCGACAATACCTATCGAGAATAATCATATATACCTTGACTGGAGTGTGAATATGAGAGTCCGGTGTGTGCAGTTCTTAGTTTGGGACCGTGTTGATCAGCTCTTCTCAGTGTATTCCGGTTGTTTGCAGAGCGGCTACGCGTCAGAGGACGATATAGCTGAACTAACGATATCGCCATTACTATAAGTTACATGCTGTTAGAGACGCGTAGGAGACAGCACCAGGATCCCAAGGGGCGGGACGTTGGTGACTGAAATCCTGTTTAGGTTGGTTCATCAGTCAGCTGGTTCTTTTGGGCTTGTTTCTGACGGTTCGCCTACCACATTGGTAGGCTAGCCAGTCAAATCAATGTCGAGTCGACTGGTTTTGCTCGGGACAGTTGTACTCCCGAGTACGGGTAAGCAAAGACGACGAACGGTGGTGAATGGTCAGCGTTTTCAACCAGCTACTCATCAATCCTCACTGTGGATCTGATGAGTACTAAGCGGTGTGTTCCGAAATTAGCCGGGTGAAAGGCACACAACTGTTAGACAGAGGTCGGAATATCGCCTGGTTTCTCGTTCTAGAATGTCTGTAGAATGCACACATATGTGATGCGGTTAGTCGGACAGAACTAGCACTATTGCGTAGATGTAATTAGGTCTTACCATAATTTAATTAACTGCTCAACCTGAAAACAAAGTACAAATTGTACCAGGTTTTTACACTGCTCGGTAGATAGGAAAATATAGTCGTTCAGCTGTAGCACCGCTTTGGTGCATAACTGCCATGCCACCCGAAGGAGGCACGAGGGCTGGGATACTGCCACGTTGCCCAAGCCTAAACAGGGAAGTCGAGATGCAGGGGTCGGGTTCGAACCACGGGCCTCCGGTCAGTAAATTCGTGCTCTAACCACTGAGCCACCTCGCTCAGTAGATAACAGCAACCTACTCTGAAATTCCGTAAATATGGGTGGCTGACTTTAACCGGTTGCTGGCGGCGCTTCGGTTGAGATCAGCCAAACCCGATATCTTTACGACGATTCTACTTGGTGAATAAATATAAATGAGGAGAATTTAACTATTCCGAGGTTTTTGCCATGTGTCTGCCTCCGGCCAGCTTTGTAGTGCACCATCAGGTCCGGGACATTCGTTAAAAACGCAATATATACAATGGTGATCGATCACCTGCGATCATTCCTGTTCACTCCCGTGACAAGGATTCGCATCGTCCAGGCACCAACGTTTTCGAGCGCTGCAGTGACGCAAACCGCGCTGATCGTGCCCTTTCCTTAGATTAACTGACACACAACACAAATGCAAACAGAAGTCATGGCCGTTCGTAGTACACCACTATTCTCCAAAAATTGTACCAAAACCATTCACCACCAAAATGCACATTAGACCAGGCTGCATGTTTCAATGGGGATCTGAACATGCACCTGATCGGTTGGTTTATTCGACCACATCACCAAAGGCGTTCCGCCACCATGGACTTTCGAATTACGAGCGCCAAGTCTTACCTAAAGTGTGAACTACTCATGAGGTTGTTGAAAACCCATGACCGGTTTCGCCCTCCTGTTTCGGGCTTATCAGTTAGGCGCAGTCCCCGAGAATATGTCAACCTTACGTTCTACTTGAAGCCGAATTGCACGAAAGTAGCGAAACACATTCATTTGCATACCAATTTGGTTCTGACGGGAGACTCATCTGGAACCCAGCTGAACCTCTCGTTTATGATGTTTTTAAGCTTAAAACGATATACTGAGCTGGGTGAGTCCAGGTGAGTCTCCGTTAAAACAAAATTTGCATGCGAATGAGTGTAGTTTGCTTACCTGAAGTAGTTCACCACGCAGCTCAATTGATCGTTTAGATTCTTGTGCGTTTTAATATCGAGCACCGTTTTAGGTCATACGTAACACGTTATCTGACAGTTACGGAGGTGCTTCTGTCCGACCTGTCTTGAGGGGAGTAGGTATTAACTGATTTTGCACTCAGTCGTACGGGCTGAGCTAGCTCCGCGGTTGAGTCGAGTAGATAGTGCTTGAGTGACTATCTAATGCCTTTCCAGGTTTTGTCTACTGGCTAAAACATGCGCAGTCATCGACTCACCGTCCGTGACAATGAACTGATTTCGATAGTTAAATGGCGGGGCCATTATCGCGTCTTTCACGCTTATTAATGCTTTATCCTGCATCAGTCTGCTGCCAAGGTGACTTTCAACTTCAAGGTTAGCACGACTAGGGGGCACACGGTAACCCAGATTGGAACGATCGATTACGCCCCAGTGAAAATGCTTTGGTGTATATCAGGGATCATAATTCAGGCGAACCAATTACTTGCTGAAGCAGTACGTAAGCTTCAGTAAGATAGTCCGATGAGTGACCACTGTATATACAGAAGCTAAGATGAATATTCTCATGCTTCTCATGTGCAGGCGATATGGGTCAGTGGTTAGAGCGCGAATTTACGACCGAAGAGATCCATGGTTCGAACCCAACCTCTGCATCTCGACTTCCCCTGTCTAGGCTTGGGTAACCAGGCAGTATCCCAGCCCTCGTGCTTCCTCCGGGTGGCAATGCAGCTAGGCACTGGAAGGGTGTTACAGCCGAACGATTATATATTTTTATTCTACCAGTTAACAGTTGATGTGCATTTTCTTGGTGAATGCTGTTGGCCCTAGTGACTGTCTGTGGTAGTTGCTATGATTACTGCTCGATTCCAATTCATATACTATTACCTTAAGGAATTGCCAACGTAAACCATAACAAAAATGGGATATTAGCAACGTGGATTAACTATGAATACGATTATTGTGTTGAGTGAGCTGCAAAAATCCACTTCAGAAGTAGAGTCTACAACTTTAACACTATGCAAAGAAAGCTTTTGCTTGGGAATACCATAAACGGCCGAACTACATTTTAATCTCTTGAGGTAGAGGTTAGTTTTCACTACACATGACTGTCACACTGCAGGTGGACATGAAGCCGTGGAAGAAAACATCCCCTTAGCAATAAAATAGTTGTATGGCATACGGGCAAGCCAAATAGACTGATGTGGCCACGAAAGAGCAAGACCCAAAACGCAGCTTTCATCACGCGTGGCCAAGTTTGCCGATTATTGTATTTCAGGGATTGACAGCCCAGTAAACACAATGATACCGGTGGCTAACGGTGTCCAAAGGTGGCTAGGTTTGCCACTGACTCCGTTGGTGAATACAAGCCAAACGTGGCACTTGTTGCATAAAAGCCCTCTGAAAACAAATGTAACAGGATATTCTGAATACTGGAGCTCTATCTACAAAGTAATTTCTGAAACCAATTTGTTTGAATGCACCACCGATTAAATACATCGTGAACTTTTTGGGTTGCCACCTTTGGCCACCGATGTCCATCGGTGGCGTGTTTGCTGGGAGCTGTATGAAAGCCTAATGATTGAAAGTAGGAAATTATAGAAGCGAACCTAGTATCCTCAGACTTTGGCATTTTTCCTGGAATATAAAAACTCGGAAACTAAGAAGAAAGCAATAAATTTAGGGACATGCAGGTGTAAGCCCAGTCTACACTCAGTATAATCCAAATTAGTCGCCAACTTTAACGCAATTTTCCGGCCAGTTGGCGCACCAATGATTTGTTCGCCTCACAGAGTGATTGATACCTGAGTCCGCTTTAAATCAAGTCGGTCTCCAGCGTGCATCGCTTATGTCGGCGTCAGCTAAACCCAGTGGAACGCACACATGTGGGTGTGTTCAGGTTTGCTCCAGTTGCCAGTGCGATGCGCATACCCAGCCTACTCGCTCACTGCAACCGTAAACGTAGTCAACTCCCGCGCAAGCCGAAACAGCAACTGGCGCTCCTGACATTCCGACTATCAATAGACCAGTCGTGAGAGCAAATTAGCTTACTGACTCATCGCCTACTCAAAACAAACCTCACGACTGCCTTGCCAAGTCATTTTTATCAGCTTGTGAGAGAGCGTGGGCGGACATTCAACTCAGTTAATACATAGGGCTATTACAGCTTGTGCGAATAGTTGGCGATGGAGGGGGCGCCTCGACGGCGCTGTCACTGGCCTCAATCATGGCGCTTTACCACGGTGCCCTGGCGTGTCGTCCCGGCTAGATCCAGCACACACGCACGGACAAAGCGAACTCTAGCCCGAGTGAGGGTGAATTGAACAGAATAGCATCCCAACATAGATTGCAGTCATTCCCAGGTGACAGAGCACACCATACTGACGGAACGTGGAGCGTAAAAGTGCCTTTACGCCTACGAGACATGGACCGACCTACTTATGAAACGCGAGTGCGATGCACACGCATACGACACACCGACGCACACAACGTACACATCTCTGCCTGCCACAGACACGCACAACGGACTGCGAGTGCTCAGAGGTCGTAATCGGAAGGCACGCAAACCATCAGCCGCACCGTCACGTCGGTTGGCTGTTACACTCTTATGCAGCGTCTGTTCGTCTTGGCATACAGGACGCAACGGCGAGCGAACTGTGCAGACCGTACACGTGTACCTACACACATGGGCGAATTTGGAGGGCGCACGCTTCAATCTGGAATGCGGTTCCGGTCATCACGTGAGCAATCATTCATTCCGGTTGTAACTTGCTCAATTCGAAGACATTAGTTTAGCGTCTGTTGGAAATGATTTTGCCAATCATTCATTCCGGTTGTAACTTGCTCAGTTTAGCGTCTGTTGGAAATGACTTTGTACGCGGTTGAGCCTATCCACTCAACCGTCGAAAAAGTAGTCTTTTTCGATGCATCATATTGCATTGGTGAGTCAGATGAACAGTGATAAAAGCCAGACTGAAGGATCAAGTCAAGGAGTCTTACGATACCAATTAAGAACCGATGAGGTATTTTAACGTACATATCCACACCAAGTGCGCGTTTGTGTAGTGGAGCGTTCAACAGAGAACACCCTCAGGGAGTGAGCGAAATCGTTATTTCTCGGAAACACTCTCTCGGAATGCACAAGTTCTTAACCCGACATTTTCAACACTACTCCAAAAGGCCATAGTGAAGAACAAAGAATAAATACAGGCGTCCACCAAAGACACATCTTTCGGCGGTGGAGGTCACCTGCATCTCATAGGAACTCCACGGTCTGGTCCCATCGCACGCAAGGCCATAATCCTGCCCAACTCTTGAAAAATACGAGAAAAAACTACAGAATTCACGGGCCCAGTGGCGACTCCACACGACATGGGTTATGGGACACAAACCGAAGCGTGAGTAGCCTTGGGACCGTTCGAAATCCGCTTCACCTAGTTAAAGTTGTTCAAGGTTGTCTCAAATTCAAGAGTGGAAGGAAGTCATTACTAGTATTTTGAATATCGCTAGATCTTGGGGCTACTCGTCTATTTGGTGGCATCATTATTCGCATGACGGCCGCAATAGGGCTCTCATCACGTGAGCATAGCTCATGTGCCGTTTACTGGTTTTATTGGGAGACATATCGAATGCTAGGTGAGGTAGAACACAGGTATGTTATTTTTGAAGCCTTGATAAGTATAGTTGGACGCGCCTCTCGTTTGCCATGGAACGATCCAGGTTTACATCGGATACAGTTCTTTGAGTAGTAAGGTTTGTAACTCAAAATGTGGTGGTGCGAATCCAACAAGGGAAGGGTCTTAACCCACAAGAAAAGCAGATAACACTGGAGTGGCGCAAGACAATTTTTGGAATAATTATGAGTTCGGCGAATTTGTCACCAATCAATGTCCATGTGGGAATGTATGGAGATTCCGAAGTTATCGCTCAGTAAGCGAGCTACCAACAGATACATTACACACTATCTAGATCACCAACTAAACGGGAATTTTGCTTTCCAAAAAAACCCTAGTGAATTAAACTAATTAGGTGATGAACTCAGTCAAACACTGAATAGTTCACCACCAGTGAACTGCTCTCTGACCAATGATGTTACGCCCCGAGAGAGTATCCCGTCCCGGGAGCCAAGAGAACCCATTCTCCGGAGTGGCATCTCTTTGGGAAGCGTTTCGACACCAATGTTTTTTCCGCTCTCAATTGACATTGCTTTTTTCTATAATCTCAGGTATGAGATCCGCGAAACGAGCGAAAATTTGAAACCAGTGAACTGCTCTCTGACCAATGATGTTACGCCCCGAGAGAGTATCCCGTCCCGGGAGCCAAGAGAACCCATTCTCCGGAGTGGCATCTCTTTGGGAAGCGTTTCGACACCAATGTTTTTTCCGCTCTCAATTGACATTGCTTTTTTCTATAATCTCAGGTATGAGATCCGCGAAACGAGCGAGAAATTTGAAAAAGTTTCCAGGGTACATCGTTGATCAGTTGTCATATTCGGTACATACTTTTAAACTCCGTCTAACGGTCGAAGTCCTGTATGCCCTAAAAGCTGATGTTATCAGTGACATTGAAATCTCAACTCCATGCTAACAACAATGGATGGAACAAGAAATATCAGTCCAGTCAGCCCCGTGCTCTAAATAGCGTGAAACGGAAAATTAGCCCCCCAGCTGTCTGAGAGCTGTGGAAGATACCCGAACTGTTAGAAAAAGCAATAAGGCCATCCATATTTAGGGACGGTAGCGAAGCGCTTCCAAAGGAGATATTCGACAGAATACATAGTGTAGTACCCATTCTCCTCCGCGCCTTCGAGGTTAATTGGTGGAGAGACTGTATGTTGACAGGATGCCCAAGATATCACAACAGGGTTGTTGTTCCAAAAGGATTTTCAGGTAGTCAGGTAAACAACAGCGCATTATTTCTAACAACAAAAGGTAAGTGTCCACAACTTGCGGCTGATAAACGTCGTTGAAATTCTTTCTTTGACGATTCGGGTTCCACAGCCCATCTTCAATAGCGGCTAACACCAAACAAGCAGACGACATTGATAATCGAGTCTTTGGTTTCAATCATTCAAGGTGTTGTGATGTTCCTTTCAAAGCAAGAGAAGCACCTGGACAAGCTAATTGACCAATGCCGACAAAATTGGGAAAACCCACGAGTGCGGTGAAGCTGGGTAAGGAACCAACCTTGTACACTCTTGTCAGCTATAAACAGTAAACGATAAAAAGTATTTTGGACTAAATGCTGTCAAATTCCATCTATCCCACATCCCAATCACCAATAAGCGGGATTTGAGCCGAGTACCCATATCAGGCATCGATTTATGGCCCTGAACAGAACTATCTCCTCCAAAGCCCTAACGATTGGCTTTAATTGCAAGTTCGATTTGGTAGATGATCAACACTCTAGCTAGACGATGAAAACAAGAGACTAGGAGTAGGCTTCTTACTGAGAACGAGTAGCTCGCATAACACTTCGTTTGCGTGAATAAGTGAGTAGCGAACTACATACAACCATCGTGGTAACGAACAGGTAGCCTATAAAGGCGGCATAATATCAATCTAAAGGGGGATAACAGTCAGAATTTATTACGTGCTACTCACCCTATACGGCTCAATTCGATGCGATCAGACCGAATGAGCCTCGGTATGCGCAACACTGCCTTCTAAACATTGTGTGACAAGATGGCGCTAGGTGCCGATACTAAACGGATCTTGGTAGACTCACATTTGATAACCGATGTTGTGTACAATATTGGGAACTAATTACGAAGCAGCTATCCTGTCAATACTAATAAAATTTGGTTTGCCAGCAAACCGAAGCTGGTCGAATCAGTGCTTTTGAAGTCTCAGCCTTAAAGCTGCGCCAATCGTCTACTGGAAATGGATTTCGAAAGATTTGCATTGAATGTGAAAACACACCTAGTACTATCTCTGATCACGAACCCATCTACCCTACAGGGTCTCATCCAGGATTGTCAAACTAACTGTATTTACGGAGCAACAGTTTAACGCTTCATTATTTGCCTAAATTCCATGACCGTATAGAAGAGTTCTACGGGCCTACGATGCAAAATCCTCTACGAGCATAAACTCTAGAACGTGCGTAGCGCGTCTTTTGCGCGTGACTTGCCTCTTCCAAGTGACGCGCTAATAATGAACCAATTTCCTCACCAGATTCAGAGTTACCGATGGTGATGCGGTGAGGGTTTTCCTAAACGAACTTGATGGGATTCCGAAGCAGTAAAATACCTCATAATTAGGTCACTATACGAAAACTGCTCAACGGCAAATTACATAGTCTAATTATGCCACTAGTGGTCAGATTCTCCTCACAGCCATATGGTTGTTCGGTTGTATTGATTTCTCGTGAGTAAGGACTGGCTACCGTGAAACGTGTGCTTGAGCTGATGAAGATGAAGAATTGATGAGCCTAGGCTAAACGATTCTTGGAAACCACCAAATTATCGGTTGCGTTGCGGATATTTAAAGTTGAAGTGGACCGAAGGCTCAGTCACAAAGACAAATTTAGACGAAAAAAGAGAAAAGTGTAATGACTGTTTCAGCTGGATTCAGTTGCTTGAAACAACACTACTCATTGGACGAGATTCGTATAGAATCAACAACAGATATCGGATATTGGCCACGATTTCTCAAGTTCAAAACGCTAACCTCATTAGCCACAGAAAGATTGTGGTCAGTAAACTAGGCGTACTGATACACAAACTGAACCCCCTCCCTCATTAACCGTGAAGCTCCGCACTGTTCCGCAGTTGGTTTCGTTATCATCATTATCATCGACAGCATGACATCTGTGTTCAATACCGATGTCTCACTGCCGTACAACCATGATTTATTTGAAAGCTTTATTGTGAAGAATAAAGGTTGACGGGGAAGGGACTTCGTGCTAACTTACTAGAATCATTCTGAGGTGCCTACACCTCCAGACGCTCACTCAGGCAATCTGGATAGAAACTGACAACAAGAACGCCACTGACATCGGTTGGCAGCCATATCTTGTAGTGT